GTGATCGCCGTGGGTTTCTTCAAGGTCCCGCTGATGGGACCTTGAATTCCGATATTCTCAGTACTTGTGCAACGTGATCGGTAGATTGCCACTGGTGTTGACGGCGTTGCAGTCTTGGTAGTATCTATGGTACAGCGGCGGAGACGGTGCCGCGCCTGTCGAGAGCGGTGTCGGCGGACTGGATCTGCGACAAATTCCGTTTTTCCACAACCTCGCTCTCTCATTTCACTACTCACTACGACTTAAAGAAAGGACTCTCGCGTGTGCGTTTTCTGTTTTCTGTTTCCTTCTCTCTCGCAGCAGAGAATCCGAATGCGTGTGTGTGTGTGTGTGTATGTGTGAATCGATCCGCAAGTGTATCGCGAATATGCATGACCGACAGTTTGTGCGACGTGTGACTTTGATTTCTCTGAATTTCTCTACTCCTCTACTGTCTCTATAAATGTGTGATCATTTTCTTTTGGATAATGCCACGAAATTGGATATACGAGCAATCTTTCATGCGATGCCTCTCGCGGCATTATTTATCACGAGTTATTTAACCGAATCATATTTTACCAGCGTCTGTACTGTCTGACTTCCGCGCTACGACTTTTTGCGACAAAAACGTTTTCTGCTTGCGAGAGAAAGTCGCACATATTTTACGTGTCCAAATCGATTTCCAATCGTCATTTCCATTAATTGCAAGCCCCATTCGATCGAGCGAGAAAATTAGAATCGCCAACCGAGCGCCCGCGAGCGCCGCTCATGATCCTAGGATCCTTGACATAGGATACTTGACATATATATTCTCGATATATATCTCGATAAATATATCGAGATATAGCGTATATCGCCGTTTCTCGACGCGATCTCTGCTCGTCTCGTTCCCTCTCACCTATAAAGTTGGCAGCTCGGCGACTGTGTATCCTGGTAGATGGCCGCGTCAGGGCTGGCGGCGTCTTGGTACCACTGCGAGTGGCTGACCGCGTTGTTGTGGGTCCTCGAGTTGTACTCGGCATGGTCCATGATGTAGCCGGCCGCCGGCGGCGCGCAATACGGCGTGTACATTGTACCGGGTGGCGAAGCGTTGCCCCTGGAGACGGCGCTGGAGTGTCCGTAGCCCGTGGTGGCCATCATCGCAGCGACCGCGGCCGTCGTCGTGGTCGCGGTGGTGCAAACGGACGACAGGTCCCTGCTGACAGAGCCGGCCTGCATCGACTCCCTGCTGCCGCTGCCGCCGCCGCCGCCGCCACCGCCGCCGCCGCCGCCACCGCCGCCGCCGCCGCCGCCGCCGCCGCCGCCGCCACCGCCATTGCCGCTGCCGCTCATGATCGCGTGAGCGTGCGGATGCTGAAGACTGTGCGGGTGTGTGTGAGAGTGATGTTGATTGTCGCGAGTCATCAGGCCGCCGGTGTTCTCCCGCGTGGTCATGAGAGCGTCGACGCTGAAGCTCGCCGGGTCCAGACCCATCGAGACGTCTTGTATGGACTCTTGGTGCACCTGGTGCGCCTGATGGCCCAAAACAGTCTGAATGACACTCTGACCCGGCGCCGCGACGGCCGTGCTCGTGCTCACACCCTTGCTCTCGGCTTGTATCGGACTGTGCAAGCCGTACTTGGCTTGCACCGCCATGCAGTGATTGCTGCTGGCGTGATCGTTGACCGGTTCCCGCTTTGGTTTGCACAGGGTAGTGTCGAGATTAGCGTTGAGTTTCTTTGTCGTCGGGACCGCGTCCGACGGCGACGACAAAGTCACTTGACCGCCACCGCCGCCGCCCCCGGACTTGCCGTGTTCCTGATCCTGCCCGCGTTTCTCGCTTACCAGACCTTGTCGCTTGAGCGCTTCCTCCTTCTCCTTCAAAGCATCTTTCTTCTTGAAGCGTCGTCTCCGTCTCAGGTACGAACCGTTGTCGAACATGTTGTAACTGTCGGGGTCGAGGGACCAGTAGCTACCCTTGCCGGGTTTCTTGTCGTCGCGCGGTACCTTGACGAAACACTCGTTCAGGCTGAGATTGTGCCGGATGGAGTTTTGCCAGCCCTGCTTATTCTCGCGATAATACGGGAAGCGCTCCATGATGAACTGGTAGATGCCGTTGAGCGTGATCTTCTTCTCGGGCGCGTTCTGAATCGCCATGGCGATCAGCGCGATGTACGAGTACGGCGGCTTCACCATGTCCTTGCCGGCATGATGGATGTGCTGCTGCCCGATACCCGGCACCGGGTAACCCGCAGCAGTCGCGTAACCACCGTAGCGGTACTGCTCGTAGTAGCCGGGCGCGGCACCGACCGTGGGGTACGACGGCGTACCCATGCCCACCGGCACCGCCGTCGGGTGCCGATAGTACGCGTTCTGCTCGCCAAAAAGCGTATGCATCTTTCTTACTAGCTATACGCTGTGCTAACGCTGTGCTAATGCTTCTTCTTCACCCGCACCTGTTCTCTCTCGCGATTCTCTCGCAAGAATCATGCAAGGTTCTCACTCCTCTCTCTCTCTCTCTCTCTCTCTCTCTCTCTCTCTCTCTCTCTCTCTCTCTCTCTCTCTCTCTCTCTCTCTCTCTCTCTCTCTCTCGGTGACACACTATCTCTCGCCCTCTCGGTCTCTCTACCTCTCCCGTCTTGAACAGCACAAGCGTCGTCCAGGAGAGGCGGACACAGGACGTGTGTCCTGTCTCCCGGCGGGACAGACTACGCTCTCGGATTTGCTATCGCGCTGCTATGGCGCCACAGGGCATCGGGGAGTTCGAACGCGCGCTGCTGATCCGATATTTCAGCATCCGAAACGTTCTTCGCACGTTGTGGTTGTATGTCGTGTCGGTGTAGGTTTTCAAAAGCACGCCGGTCGCTTTTCCCCGGAGTTTTCCCTCTTCTCCTTTCAGGTCTTTCAGGTCTTCGGATCTTGGCAAGCGCAAGCGCACACAAAAGTCCCGGACGTTATGTTGTTTGTGTCTTGTAGCTTGTTTCACATGCCGCACAGCCCTCAGACGTCCGTCGAAGGATTATCCGTTCCTCCTCCTCGTCGGCGAGCGTGCGCAATCTCGCTGTCGTTGGCCGATCTATCGGCGATTTACAAGTTGCATTCGCATTCGCATTCGCGCGAGTCGCGTCACGCGGACGCGCGTGACGTGAATCCGTATCCGTGAAACACTCGAGAGAAACACTCGGAGCACGCGCACTCGCGCGTCACTGCATCGCGCCACGCGAGTCCACTACTATCTATAGGCAGGATCTAGGATCTAGGATTCTATCGATCGAGATCCTCTCTCCGTGATCATGGGCGGAAAAGGCAGAAAAGCAGAGCGCACACGCTCGCTCGCTCGCGCGCGCGCGCGCGCACGTGCGTACGTCAGCGTCGTACCTGGCGCAGCTCCTTCGTAAGTATTTTGTTGATCGTATCCCGGGGGATACTTATGGGTAGGTAGGTAGGTAGGTAGGGTAGATCACTGCGTGAGGAGACTAACGCAGACGCGGAAGACGTTGCGCGTGTTGCGATGGTTGCACGGTTCGCGGATACGGTACGGGCTCGGCTACGGCGGTGCCGAGAGCGGTGCAGGAGACGAAGAAGAAGGTGCGCGCATTCGGTACGCGAGTCGGTCGCGCGCGACGCACGCTAACCCCGTAAACCCGCGTGCACGCGTATTATGATACACAACAGGCCGGAGTTTACTCAACCCCGAGTAAAAACACACTGGGAGCTCGGAGTCGCGCGCGCGACCGAGTGCTCGGCGCGACCGAGGAACGGCTGCGCGCCGGGCACGCTTTCGAAAAATCACGAGGTTCCCCTGTACGTCGCGTCGCACTATTGGTCGCAGCTCGTGCCACGGTTCCACCCATGGAACCACGATCCATCCGCACGTCGAGGAGAACGTAGCGGCGACCGTCCGCCCCGGATACGAGCCCGCCAATGATGACGCGCGCTGTTGGCGCGATCCCGGGCCTTTCACGCCCTCGCGGCACTCTGGCGCGTTCTGGCGCGCGCAAGGTCGGGCCAGGCGAGCTCTCGAGGCGGGAGAGGATCGAGATTACGAACACGCGCGGCGACGCGCGGAATTTTTCCGCGGCCATCGGCCGTCGGATACTTTTCGCGGACAACCACGGCAACGCGCGACGCGCGACGCCGACGAGCTCGAGCTCCACGAGAGGGAGGATTAAGAGAACCGAGAGCGCGAGAAGCGAGAGCGCGAGAACCGAGAGCGGCGAAGAGCGAGAGTGTGATATAGTTTTATGCGCGGTGCCTCCTGACTGAGCTTGCTGTGTGTCGCGCGATGGCTCAGGGTGACAGTGACGAGAGAGAGAGAGAGAGAGAGAGAGAGAGAGAGAGAGAGAGAGAGAGAGAGAGAGAATCCGCGGATCTCTCTCGCGAATCATGCGGATTGTGTGGAAGCTCGAGATCTCGCTTTTCGAGATTAGATTTGCTGTTCATGCGCTGACACGATGACAGAGGGAAAGAGAGAGAGAGAGAGAGAGAGAGAGAGAGAGAGAGAGAGGGGCGGGAGGGGAGGAGACTGCCGTCATCTGTGTGATTGTATCTAGAAACTCGTCGATTGTGAGAAGCATCCTTCGTATCGCCTCATTGTTGCATGCTGCTACCGCTAGTGTCGGAAGAATTGCTGGATTTTCCATCCTCTAGACATTCACGCGCGTGCACATTCACGCGTTGCGTGCGCTTGACAGTTTTGCTGTAAAACTGTCGCGCTCGTCCAGCCCATAACTATATCGCCAATAATTAATTCCGTCGCACGGTTCGCCATGTTTCGCGCGACTCGAATTGTCGCGAGAGACCTCGCTGACGATAACGTCGTCGTCACGCGGATAGAACGGAAAAGAGAGGTCGTTCTTACGACAGACGACACTTTCAATTTAGCGTCTGTTTTTTCAAGGGTTCGACTCCCGCCTTGCGAAAACACTCGACGGAACGCGTCACCACCCTCCCTGGCATTGGCAACCGCGCCAACTTTCCGCGCCTCTGTCGGAAACCGTCGCCGTCGAGCCGCACGCGTGAGCGAGAGAGCGCGCTCTCTATCCACGTTACCGTCCACAAATACCGTTCCCAACGATCGGGGGGCACGGATACTCCACTTTTTACCCTACTGCTACTACTGCTAGATCGATCTCGATCTCGGTCGATCTCGAGAGATCGATTTCCGACGAATAATCGCGGAAAGCGCGCGCCGCGACAATAACTTTGAACAACATTCTCTCCGCAGACGGACTCTGAAAATGCAGCATATAGCTCATAGCCAGCGTGTTCTCAACGCTAACGTTTCAGCAACTCGCGCGATCCCTCAATTACAATTTGCGCAAACGTATCCAGACTTGCGCGCGCGCGGCGTCAAATTGAACGTCGCCCTTGCGCTACCGCTGCCTAAGATCAGGCGGTTAATTTTCATTTAAATGGAACGACAAGCGGGAACGCTCTAGGCATTCCAGCTTCAGACTCCCCCTCTCTCTCTCTCTCTCTCTCTCTCTCTCTCTCTCTCTCTCTCTCTCTCTCTCCCTCGCCCCGAGCTAAACTATCGCGAAACCAAGATGCAAAGCACTTCCCAAGTTCCGGCGAAAGTTTAATTGTCTTTCGCTCGCGTTCTCTCTAGATTCCTGGAACATCCCTGAAACATCCCTACTGCCGATGCTGCAACCGACAATCAATCTCCCCGATCGCAGGCGGATTCGCTATTTTTATTATATTACATTTTGCTTCACTCGATCTTTCTCGCTGCATCGTCCACTAAATATTGAACGTTGACACGAATAAAGATGCAACGATAAAAGTTGATACACGATAAGAGGAGAATCTGCAAAATCCGCATCTCTGTCGCGACGCCGACATATGACGTCTGAGACATTCTGATAAAGAATAAAGAAAGAGACGCACCACGGATGATATATCCGAAGCGAAGCGATATTTACGAAAGGTCGAGTTTACCCAAAGGTGTCGGGATGTTACACCTGACTGAAGATCGTCTGCCGAAACGAGGCAGACTGTTCGTAATCGGGATCAGCGTCGATTCGACCGGGGCGTACAAGAGCGATTTGCATATTTGTCGTTGCCTCAGGGACGAAATCGATCAAACGGACGCAATTGAAATTAATTATCGACATAATTAATGATAACCTCAGCATAATTAATGATAACCGCCGTAATAATACTAAATAACCGTATTATAAGCAAGCAATCGACGGATATAAGTTTTGCAAGTCGCGTGTGTGTATAATTAAAAAGAACACTTTGTCTATGACTTTGTCTCTATCGTTTGTAAATGTTGTATTGCGTGCGCGTAATTCTTATTCCTAATTTGAAGCACTATGCGTGACTGCGTGTGGATAATAGGAACATTTAATACCTTGTCTCGTGCACCGACGACGACGGCGCAAATATTTTCCCAAAGTGCAGTGTAAATTTGTTTGGAAAATATCGAAACTTTTCAAAATAAACGTCGCCTCTTGACCTATCTCACGCGACCGGATTCTCGGCGATATATGAACATCCGTGCCCCTCCAACCTTTTCTTTCTCATCCAGAAACAATAAACCTCTCATTTCGCGTCACGGCGTCACGTATCGGCCCGTCTCGACGGATTTCGCACGCCGTGCGCGCCGCCACTTTTCGCGAAAGAAAGTGCGCACGATGACGCACGCGAGAGACGTTATAAATAGCGTCGGGTAATGTTATCGGTATTTTACGTGAATAATTGGTGTCTGCTTCAATGCGCCCGACGACTCGCACGTTACGCATTCACCGGGATCGCGCATCGTCCTTGTCCGCCTTCTTCCTTCTCACGCTGAAGCGCCGTTATTGACTTTTGCAAATTTCTCGACTTTGTCTCGATTCGATTTCGAAAACGCAATGTAACGAATCGATATGTGTGTGTGTGTGTGTGGTTTGTGAAGTTTCCGCTCGCGCTCGACCGATCTCGATCCGTGGAAGAAGCGCATCGCGCTCGCGAGATCCGATTAACTCTCCGAGAGACCACTCGTTCGGAGTTTCCGTATGTTTCTCGTCTCGTTTACGGCGCCAATGTTTACACAGTGCGGTGAAATTTAATTCCCGGGACCTTCGAACCTACGAACCCCCAAGCGTAAACCAATACTCAAGCTCAACGTTGAAAATGGCGCCGCCGCCGCCGCCGAGGATGTAAAAGAAGCACCTTTTCCCCGAGTCGAGGAAGGTGCAGCGAGAAGGCTTCCGCGCGCGCGTCTATGTTTCCGCTTTAATTTTCAAGAGACATGCCTCCCGACCCGTTTTCGACTCGCCGATTACCGTGTTCACAAAAAATTGACGTTATTAGTCTTCTCAATTACTACGATTCGTCTCAGGAATCTCGTTTCTCAGGAATCTCAGCTTCTCTCTCTCTCTCTCTCTCTCTCTCTCTCTCTCTCTCTCTCTCTCTCCTCTTTCCTGCTTCGCACTCCTTCGCTTGTTTATTCGCCGAATTTCTGCATCGTGTCTCGCGCAATGCAATCGGTCGGTTTACGCGCGGCGAGTTTCCGCGCGCACAC